CGAATTTTCAAATTTTGGCCACGATATCCTCGAACAAGTAGGTGCAGTATGCCATCTGCAAAGCAACAACTCTCAAATATAAAACACGGCGGAGGTATAAGACCCGACGTATGGTCACTGACTTTTGGCCCACCCTGTATGAATTTAACTATATTATATTTTACCAAAACCCATAATCATGGGTAGAGTGGACCGCTGCCAGTGTCTCTCTTTCCCAAACAAAAGGAAATGATATTAATTTGATTGACCGTTCTCAAATGCAAAATGTTACCGAGAATGAAATCGGTCGCTCGCTTTTCCCATTCATTCACGGCTTACGAATTGTATAAATAAGTTTCGATTGATTACATCAATCAGATGCTGTAAAAATCTCTTTGGGTTGCGTTCGGGTCGATACCTAGTATTTCGGGGTAAGGGACAAGGGTGGTAGTTATTACTTATTGAACAAGCTGGAGTTTATTGAATCTTCATTGCCGAGTACAGCTGCCTTTGGGTAGTTCTTCTTAATCTATTAGGTACAATTGTAAATGAATGGGAAAAGCGAGCGACCGATTTCATTCTCGGTAACATTTTGCATTTGAGAACGGTCAATCAAATTAATATCATTTCCTTTTGTTTGGGAAAGAGAGACACTGGCAGCGGTCCACTCTACCCATGATTATGGGTTTTGGTAAAATATCATCTCTTTTTGATTATAATGTCAGGGTACTTTATAAAGTCGAAATATAAACTGATATCTTCATTAATAAGGAGGAAGTTTCAACGATTTCGAAATTTTTCCTTTAAAAACATATCCTTGTGTTTAGGGAAGCATATCGGTCGATGCCACTTAATACTTATTCAAGTTGGCATTAAGTATTAAGTGCCAACTTGAATACTTAATGCCAATTTCAAGAAGAACTGTAATCACAACGGCACTCTAAAGTTGACAGAAAATGACGAAAACAGCAATTTTCAGTGATTTTAGCAATTTTCTTTTAATTTGGGCGTGTCCCCACGTGTGAAACTTTTCGATTTTCAACTTTAAAACTAGCCTAATGCACAATTTATACCTATAAGAAGCAGAAATGAGCTCCACAACCCAAGGCATGGCCCAACACCAGAGAATACTAAATCGCAAAATTGACGTTTTTATAAAATAATTCTTCAAAAAAGCACAAACTTCAATAACGAATATCTTTATGAAAGAGCAAGCTAGAAAAACTTTCCGGTAGATTTTCAGAATGCTTGAACAATTATCTAAGATGAAAATTTCCTCAGATTTTTAATAAAATTACATCTTAATGGTTTAAAATTAATTTTAAAAGTTATTACTTTGTCAAAAATCAAGTTTTAAAAACGGTTAACTTGATGACGTCATCAAGGGGTGTTTATGACGTCAAATAATTTTTTTATACAATGTAAACTAAAGTGTAAACAATTATTTGCAAGACCTGTGGTCGGAAATGGCTGTATCTTTTATATAGGTACAAATCTACAGACACCTGAATGTAGCCTATAATTGACTGGCAAAGCGTCTATCCCTGAATATATGTATATGTATATGTATGTATGTATGTATCACGACAATCTGTCGTAAAACAGGGGTTCTAGAAAACCCATTTCCCGATGCTCCTGAAACTTGAAACTTTTTTTGCAATCGATTTGGTCAACGTCTAGACGTCCTAAAAAATTTCAGATCTCTAACTCAATTTTAACATGGTTTTTAAGGCACCTGAATATGGCGATTTTGGGTTTTTTACCGAATTTCGTATAACAGTGCTGGCGAGTATTTTATGCAAATTTCTTAAAAATCTCAACATAACTATTTTTTATTTCTGTCATCTTTGACATCAAATTAGAATGTTTTGAACTAAAAATAAATCTGTCGAACGACTTCCGATGAGTCTTAATGCCTGAAAAACTCCTGCCGGAGGCGGCGGCCTTCGGCCGCCGCCTCCGGCCGGAGTGCACGCTTCGCGTGCACGAAAGAGGCTTGTAACGTGTACCAAAGGGGGTATAATAGTAAAGGGGGTATAATAGTAAATGGGGTACATAGTATACCCACAATAAATGCAACGGTCGTGCTTGCCAGCACTGTGATAAAAGTAACATTTGAAGGGGCTCATTCTCATCAATCGCAACCAAAAATGTCTGCAAAAGGTAATTCGAGATAAAACATAACCCAGACTGTCAAAGAATTCACAATGCTACACTTGCACTAATAACTAAGACAATACAAACAGCCCGCTCCATACAGGAGTCGAGTAATTCTGCCAAGCACTTTAGACGAAGTCAGAGACAGTATGCGTCGAACTTGTATGGTTTATCATTACTCATTACGTTGTAACACTGACACTACAACGATTAGTATAGAGTTGCAATTTGGAATTTACTTAGTAATTCTTACTTCGGCTACAGCATTTACTAAACCCAAAGGTCTGAGTTGGCGATCATAATCACGCCTGTCCCTGTCCCTGTCCCTGTCCCTGTCCCTGTCCCTGTCCCTGTCCCTGTCCCTGTCCCTGTCCCTGTCCCTGTCCCTGTCCCTGTCCCTGTCCCTGTCCCTGTCCCTGTCCCTGTCCCTGTCCCTGTCCCTGTCCCTGTCCCTGTCCCTGTCCCTGTCCCTGTCCCTGTCCCTGTCCCTGTCCCTGTCCCTGTCCCTGTCCCTGTCCCTGTCCCTGTCCCTGTCCCTGTCCCTGTCCCTGTCCCATCTCGGAAGGGATCTCTGCGGTAGGATTTAATTTAAGATTGTAACTGGACTTCTGTTCAAAGTTTTTAGTTTTTATCATTTTTACGGACCATACTGTGAGTAGCCAAAATTTTGGAGGTCCTATTCATGAGAAGTGGAGAAGGGCGGCTAACAAGTTTTATTTTGGCAATTTTAAATAATTTCGAGCCTTCTTATAATAATAATAAATTATCGGTTTTAATAAAATAAAAGGGAAAACGCTGATCAGCTGCAATTTTAACAATCTACGTAAAACTCAGTAAACGACACCGCCGCTAAAATTAAAGAAATAACCCCGGTGTTTGAAATGAGTCTGTTTGGTAACCATTGGACCTGTATCCTCCAGCCATAACACATCACATCCTGCGTCAGCTGCAATATTTTAATAATCCTGATCTCATACATGCAAAAGAGAGAGAGTATTTTGAAAATACATAAATAATCTACAATCATAAACAATAGGCGGCCAAAATTGTGATCGGCCCTGATAATGAATAAGTACTAGCAGTAGCAATACACAGAGGGCAAATAAAGGTCGTCCACAAAAGGGCCGATAAGATTTATCGGTTTTGCTATTATAGTAGTGTCAACACAGTGTGGGAAATTTTCAAGCTGCTAATTGGTTTTGGTTTGTGGAATTTGATTCTATGTGTGATTAATTGTACTCTGTTTACTCCACTTAAATATCCATTTGAACTTTGATAATTGAGCATGCGTAGGACTACTTTTATATTTAACAGATTGATGCTAATCTATTCCTATTTCTTCAGGTTTGAATAAAAGTCGATATAAATGAAAGTATCTGAATCTATTGGAAAATTAAAGATTGAATATAACAATGATAATATTATTAGAGACGAACACACTTGAATACAGGATTATATAATACTGATACAGATCACAGATTATCACAATAAATCACTCTATCAAATCCACATAGCAATTCTGTCCTGACAAGGGCTTAACACTATTGTACCTCATGAGCTGAATATTTTCTCCTTTTACTGGAGTAAACTTGAAGTGGTAGAATAAATGAGAAATTACCGATTTAAATTCTATTTTGGCCAACTCCTTCCCCAAACAGTTTCTTGGCCCTATTCCAAATGGTAAAAATCCGTGTGGGTGTCTGTTCTGGTCGTGGTGAACATTTGTTCTCCTAGTAGGAGTCCTTGTGAGTCCAGGAGTACCCTTCTCCTTGCTTGTACTGAACGTGTAGTTGTCAAAACGTCCTGGATTGAACTCCTTGTGATCTGATCCCCAAATCTTTTCGTTGCATAAATTTGCATTCTTCAATCCTGTGCAATAACAGAATGAAACCTATTATATTGCAGGTCATTTAATATTTTTCATTAAAAATCCCCTATCAGGTCATTCAATGATATCATCATATATAGTCTTTATCAAAAATTCCTAAATAAAGGATGAAAATCATCGCTCTGGAGAAGAAAACTTTGTGTTCGCTAAGTCACGCTCATCTTGACAGTTCGGTGGATGGCTAATTCAGTCTGTTAGCGGAACTTAGTGCCTAAAATCAAGGCGTCAGGTCTAAGAATTGGTATAGTCTAATGGCATCAAGGTAAGGAGGATCACCTGGAGTGGACATCCTGAATATAGAAGCAGCTGGAACTCTCGTTTAGTTCGCAACAATCTGCTGGAGGAAAGTTCCTCGGACTTTGTATCCAGCAATTTCTGACAGTGTGGTGGAGCTATTTGTGTTTCGCGAATGCACAATAGAACGTCACTCATATCGTCCACCTTGCAGCACATCCGTCAAGAGGCACGTGTCTCTGTAGAATTTGGTGCCGATAACCGAACACATTCGAGAAAGCTGTCCGGACTCCAGCTATTATCGCAATCCTCCTCACCTCTGCTTGGTTATCGCCAATGTTCCTGGTCCAACAGGTTCCTAAATTCCACACATCGTATTCTGTAGCCCAAAGCTTGTTCCAAAATTGTTGCTATCATCTCGAGTCATCAGAACCTGCCCTGTACAGGTCATCTCCGACTTCGTGTTGTTTCCACTAAATTCCCATAGTGTTCAATCCAGGGGTATCTGTAATGGTTTGAACTCCCCAAAATCAGTCTCAAACTGGACTTTTACTCCGTTCAGCATATTACAGCTCTATCGTTGTTCCGGTGTAGGTTACATTCATGTCGTCTATTCCGCTGGCGTGTTCTTCTAGAGAAGGAACTTCTCTCCGTTCTGTGCGACTATCCAACTTGGGTAATAATCTGGGGGTGCTTGCCCTGTCGTGGTGATTACAACCTGTCCAGGACATGTTACTTCCGTTTACGCATGGCAGGAATCGACCTGAAATAAGTTGGTTCAATACAATTTGTAGGGATAACAAATACATGTATATAAAAGTCCCAGACTTGACATTGTTAATATTTGTTATGTTTAGTAAAAAAATTTTATTGTTGTATTTAGATTCAACATTGTAGGAGTTCTCAGAGTTTATAGCTTTTAATGTTATAAATGTGAAATGTGGAATTGTAGAAAATGAAGGTACTTAGGTCTTTTGAACTTACCAACAATCATCCATCGTATCGATTGGCGTCATCGCTAAGACTCCTGGATGCATTCGAATAGCACGTGAGTTACTGCGCGCGACAAATCAATCGAGCGCCAACAAATTGTTTTTGAGCAAACTGAAATTTCGTAGCATTCATAACATTAATTTCATTGCGCGCTCCAGAAACTCCATAACAATTCAAAATGTGCTTATGTAGTAATTTCATGAGGGAAGTTTATTAGAAATTAAATCTATGTACCCTACTCTATAACCCTAGTCCCTTTCTAACTTGATTTGATTGAATATTTACATTTTTGCCTACGAAATATTGTCGGAGTTTGAAGTCAGTCACTCCCAGAAAATCTAGATCATATCCACACTTAATTATCCAATTAAATACAGTGCTTTTAATTACGATCGTAAAATAATCGCACACTCCGATCATTCCCAGTTACATCATTCCATCATCTGTACGCCAGCAGGGTGTCATAATTATTGGCGTGTTTGAAATTTTATGTGTATTTTATGATGAAATCAACATTTTTCGACGGGTCATAACTTTACTTCTGAATATCGGAATTACAAAATTCAAAAACTGGTCTGTAGACAATTGTCTGAACTTTTCCTTAATTTCAGAATTTTGTGTTGATGTACCTCAAAACCCATAATTTAGGCCGTTATTTAAAGGATCGATTCCATACTTGGTTAGATTTACGAAGGAGTAAGGGACTTTTTCTGAAATTATTCTTTAGACTAAAGTGCACAGCTCTTCATAGCGAAAGATATAGAAAACTATAGATTTTATAAAAGCTCTCTTTCTCCTCTAACTGACGCAATAAAATATAGTCGGGCGGACTCATCCCGGAATTCAGGGGAAGCAGCCGAAGGCTTCAAGTCCAATAATCCAAATTTTTCTCATTCGTCGTGATTATCGACGAAATTTAACTTCTTTCGGACTTCGTTTTTAGACTGAACTGTAGTATGAAGGATTATCTCTCGAATGATCAAGACTCCATAGGAAACTGACCCTCAGAAGTCAAGTAATGATCGTTTCTAAAAGCTTGGGTAAGCTAAAATTTTACGCAAAATTGCGCGCCAATAACTATGACACGGGACACCCTGCTGTAGATGGCTCTATTTCAGCAATATTTCAGCAATTTGATGAGCGGTTAATGTTAACTCTCAAAATAAAGTTCCATCAGATATGTCACATGACAATGAGTGAGCTGAGTAACGTTACGCCACTGCAGCTGCTAAAGTAAGGTATTCTCATAATGTGGCTATATTTCAATAATGTAAGAAAGATGGCACACTTGAAACGGTCTCGCGGTCGACAGCAGCTTTCTCTATTGTCATCGAATCAAATTCATTTACATTACCTTTGTTCGTTGCTTGATGTTTGCATCATGCGACAATTTGACCAAAAATGGCAGAATTCCACCAACAATTAGATTGAGAAGAAAGATAACCCAGGAATGTGATTCACGCTAACCTGATCTTTATACTTGAGTGTTTTGAAGTCCTTGTTCGTCCCCTGACCCCAGATCTGAAACAAGACATGGTATATAGTAGATATGTATATAGTAGTATGTGTATAGTATGTACATGTAGACATATATATAGTAGGACAAACGCTTTACAAGATAAAAATGAATATTAAATATATAATTTACAAGATCAATATTAAATATATAATTTGAAACAGTTAAAAGAACGCACTTTCATTGCTTCAACTCTAAAACCGAGCGTTTGTGATGAGCTTTCTCTTTCCCGGAACTGAAACAAGTCAACATTAGAAACACCACGTGACGTCATACCACGTGACATCATACCACGTGACGTCATACCACGTGACGTCATACCACGTGACGTCATACCACGTGACGTCATACCACGTCATAACAGCTTAATACTGTAAAATACTGACTGTCATATAGCGTAGTTTGGTAACAGCTTTATAAAATACTGACTGTCATATAGCGTAGTTTGGTAACAGCTTTATAAAATACTGACTGTCATATAGCGTAGTTTGGTAACAGCTTTATAAAATACTGACTGTCATATAGCGTAGTTTGGTAACAGCTTTATAAAATACTGACTGTCATATAGCGTAGTTTGGTAACAGCTTTATAAAATACTGACTGTCATATAGCGTAGTTTGGTAACAGCTTTATAAAATACTGACTGTCATATAGCGTAGTTTGGTAACAGCTTTATAAAATACTGACTGTCATATAGCGTAGTTTGGTAACAGCTTTATAAAATACTGACTGTCATATAGCGTAGTTTGGTAACAGCTTTATAAAATACTGACTGTCATATAGCGTAGTTTGGTAACAGCTTTATAAAATACTGACTGTCATATAGCGTAGTTTGGTAACAGCTTTATAAAATACTGACTGTCATATAGCGTAGTTTGGTAACAGCTTTATAAATACTGACTGTCATATAGCGTAGTTTGGTAACAGCTTTATAAAATACTGACTGTCATATAGCGTAGTTTGGTAACAGCTTATATAAAATACTGACTGTCATATAGCGTAGTTTGGTAACAGCTTTATAAAATACTGACTGTCATATAGCGTAGTTTGGTAACAGCTTTATAAAATACTGACTGTCATATAGCGTAGTTTGGTAACAGCTTTATAAAATACTGACTGTCATATAGCGTAGTTTGGTAACAGCTTTATAAAATACTGACTGTCATATAGCGTAGTTTGGTAACAGCTTTATAAAATACTGACTGTCATATAGCGTAGTTTGGTAACAGCTTTATAAAATACTGACTGTCATATAGCGTAGTTTGGTAACAGCTTTATAAAATACTGACTGTCATATAGCGTAGTTTGGTAACAGCTTTATAAAATACTGACTGTCATATAGCGTAGTTTGGTAACAGCTTTATAAAATACTGACTGTCATATAGCGTAGTTTGGTAACAGCTTTATAAAATACTGACTGTCATATAGCGTAGTTTGGTAACAGCTTTATAAAATACTGACTGTCATATAGCGTAGTTTGGTAACAGCTTTATAAAATACTGACTGTCATATAGCGTAGTTTGGTAACAGCTTTATAAAATACTGACTGTCATATAGCGTAGTTTGGTAACAGCTTTATAAAATACTGACTGTCATATAGCGTAGTTTGGTAACAGCTTTGTCGATGTTCTCCTGTTCGGTGGGCTCGGAGGGATCCTGTTTTACCATCTTGTCATACAAATCCTCCCGTAGCTTCTGGTTCTTTACTTCAAACTCTTTGAAAGTCCTGCACAAAGTGGGACACGTCATGTACGAGTAGTGATACTAATACAATTACATACTATATATTATACTGAGTAACAGTATTGGAATGTCAAGAATAAAATATTCAGAGAAAACAGAACAATAGAAGAAATTTGATAAAAGGAAAAATATGTAATAATGTAAGAGGTCTTTAGCGTTCTGTTATCTTATAGGACTATTACTACACAGTGCCCCCCCCCACTACTACTACACAGTGCCCCCCCCCCCCTATAACTACACAGTGCCCCCCCCCCACTACTACTACAAAAGGGTCATAAGTACTTATTCTACTTTATATTACACATGATCAAGTAAAGAAAGAGTATTTTAAAGATAAGTCTTATCTTGTTCCTAATATGTATAATATGTACTAAGAAGGCTTATTTCTCTATAATTTTAGTGAAAGTTACGTTTTCTAAAGATACGCTTTTGGAATGCCTTGATTGTAACATAAGACTACTATACTATACTACTATTTTGTATTGTTGTGATACAGTGCGCGGATACATGACATTACCTTGCTTAATATAAATTACATGATAATACTAGGCTCAATAACGGGGCTCCTATTTGCCAGTATTCACAGAAGGGCTCCTTTTAGAGTTGGCTGAGAGCCTGAGTGTGGAGTTACACCACATGTTTATTGTAGGGGAATAGTGGCCAATGAGGGGGGAGTGTGGGGCACGTGACCCCCCCGCCACCTGGGCCACTAGTGAGACATTCACTCGTTACAGGATAACATCTGTTCTACAATCTTACATCACGCGTCTTCCTGCACTGTTAGCGGTATATTGTGCACAGTGGAGGGGGGGGGGGGGAGGGTTATCTGTAGTACTAGTGATCTAGCTTATAACTATTATAATATAATATGCGTGTAATTACTTAAGAACTTATCAGTGGATAATGGTGTATTACCATTATCCACCAGCATTACTGATTTACTTATTATTAATATAGTCCAAAAAACTTTACTGTGCTCCTAGTCTCTTACTTATTAATTTACTAAGTTTCAACATACTCCTACAACTGCTTACTTGTTCACGTAACCGGTAACAGTATAACACACTCACCTAGTCCCCATCTTTATGTCCATACCACACCCGTCTGTGAAATGACACATCACGTCCTCCATCCCTATCCACCTCTTGCCGTCATGTTCCTTGGTTCCCAGGAAGTCAGGAACATAAGCGTGCAGTGAGCTCTCGTTCAGTTCCTTCAGCACTTTAGCCTCTATCTCCCCGTCTTTAGCTTGCTGTTTCCACAGAGCACCTGGTCCAGCTATGTGGAAATGTCCTGCAAGTGGTACCAGGGTTACCAGAGTTACCAGGGTTACCAGAGTTACCAGGGTAGCACTACCAGGGTTGAGGGTTACCAGGGTTACCAGAGTTACCAGGGTTACCAGAGTTACCAGGGTAGCACTACCAGGGTTGAGGGTTACCGCGGTGACCAGAGTACCACTACCAGGGTTGAGGGTTACCAGGGTTTCCAGGGGTACCACTACCAGGGTTGAGGGTTACCAGGGTTACCAGGGTTACCAGAGGTACCAGGGTTACCAGAGTTACCAGGGTTACCAGAGTTACCAGGGTAGCACTACCAGGGTTTAGGGTTACCGGGGTGACCAGGGTACCACTTCCAGGGTTGAGGGTTACCAGGGTTTCCAGGGGTACCACTACCAGGGTTGAGGGTTACCAGGGTTTCTAGGGTTACCAGGGGTACCACTACCAGGGTTGAGGGTTACCAGGGTACCACTACCAGGGTTGAGGGTTACCAGGGTTACCAGGGTTTTCGACTCTACATTTAGTAAAATATGTTCCTAGTTTTTCGAGTAGAACCATCGTAAGGCCCTCTACTATCATTATCAGAGATCTCAACCGCAAATAATAAATTGTTGCACTATATTATATTACTTTCACTGTATTATAGGGTGGGCGACAATTGACCCCCCGACAATTGACCCCCCGACAATTGACCCCCCGACAATATAATTTAATACAATTGACCCTGACCCTGACCCTGACCCTGACCCTGACCCTGACCCTGACCCTGACCCTGACCCTGACCCTGACCCTGACCCTGACCCTGACCCTGACCCTGACCCTGACCCTGACCCTGACCCTGACCCTGACCCTGACCCTGACCCAGGACTCTGACCCTAACCCTAACCCTAACCCTAACCCTAACCCTAACCCTAACCCTAACCCTAACCCTGACCCAGGATCCTGACCCTAACCCTAACCCTAACCCTAACCCTAACCCAGGACCCTAACCCTAACCCTTTACATGGGGGGTCAAGTGTCGGGGGGTCAATTGTCGTACTAAACCCTAGATTTCGCGACAATTGACCCCAGTGTAATTACATAGGGGTCAATTGTCGGGGGGTCAATTGTCGGGGGGTCAATTGTCGCGGTACCGTATTATACAGTAAAACCCCGATCTAATGCGGAAAGGAAGAACCCGCGGTAAATCGAGGTTTTGGTTTTTGGGGTCAAAAATTGGTCAAAAAAAGGGTCAACATTCGACAAGGCCTGAAATCCATTTATTGTTATATTTTTGATATTTTCAAGAAAATACTTAGCAATTCAATATCTAAATTAAACTGAATTCTTGCTGCCTTTACATTATTTATAGGTAGTTTTGAGTAATTGTATAGCAAATTCTGAAATTGAGTATGGTTTACACTGTTCCTGTAATCTGTATACCCGGAAATAAATAACCAATTAAAATGTTAAAAGTTTAGACAGTGTACAATGATATAGACATTATAACTGATCATTAGCCACAGAGGATCAATTAGCTAACCTGGTAACCTGGTAACCTGGTAACTTGGTAACCTGGTAACCTGGTAACCTGGTAACTTGGTAACCTGGTAACTTGGTAACCTGGTAACCTGGTAACCTGGTAACTTGGTAACCTGGTAACCTGGTAACCTGGTAACTTGGTAACCTGGTAACTTGGTAACCTGGTAACCTGGTAACCTGGTAACCTGGTAACTTGGTAACTTGGTAACCTGGTAACCTGGTAACTTGGTAACCTGGTAACTTGGTAACCTGGTAACCTGGTAACCTGGTAAACGTCATATACCACGCACCACATGACGTCATATATATATATAATATATATATAGAGGTTAATCAAATAAAACTTAGGAACAGTTTTGTTTGTAATTAGGAAAGTGAACCATTAACTAAAACAATACAAGTTATGTATATAATATATAATATCCAAGTTATGGTGTTTTCTAATCACTTACTTCAACTTAGGAATAATATTGTAAATTCGGTATCAAATCTATGTAATGCACGAAATGCACAGCACCTGACATGACGTCACACCACCTGACATGACGTCACACCACCTGACATGACGTCACACCACCTGACATGACGCAGCAATAGTGTTACCTAAGTGACCGCCGAGCTGCACGAAGTCTCTCTGTGTGGTGGATATTATCGCATCCCCGGGGTTTATACTCAGCTTCCGTGTTACCTGTGGATAAAGTTGATAGAGTGGATAAAGTTGATAAAGTTACATACTACATATACATATGATATATATATATTATATAATATGTAATATACTAGCAATGTTGCTAGTAGTAGTAATAAACTTTGTAAATGAAAAAAGCGTGGGCCAAAACGTCGACAAAAACTGAGTGGAGACTCTCACTTAGTACCAAAACATCAATTAAACTTTGTAAATGTTACATTGCAGCTGTTAACATGTCTGTCAGGGTAATATTTATGAAGGAGCAATATTTTTTATAAAGTTATAACCTCCTACCAGGTGCCTAGTAATAAACTTATCAAGTGACGGTCCACAGGGCATTTTGACGTGATGAATGTTTTAGTGATCGGAATATATTGTGAAAACTTTGATAGACTGGCTTGACAAGACTGGTCAGTATTTGATAGCAATGACACCCCCCCCCCCCCCCCCCCCCCCCCCCCCCCCCCTAGCAATGACTACTTGGTACAATATTATCATTGTACTTATATAAATATATATGTTTACGTAATATATATATCGGAGAAATCTAAACAAAAAGCATACATTATATTATATACATTTATCTGATTTGGAAGTTGCAGAATGATAAATTCCAACATTTATCGAATGAAATTTCAACAATTTACAGGTATTTGGTCATTTAATTTTGGCTAGATAACTTAATATTTGAGGTTCTATGGTATATGAAGGTATGTAAATGAAGGTATCTACTATGTAATTGCTAACTGAGGTGTTCAATAATCTGAACCAGGTAAATTGTAAATTCACGAAACAAATGGCAAATATAAATAAAGTTAAATACCTAAAGTAAGTAAGGTATGCTTTGTTTAGGTGAATATATTAGTTGATAACTTGCCTATGATTTGCACAATACTAAAAGCCTCCTCGCTTTTAGTTTTGGTGAATATCATTCGTAAGAAGTCACAGTTTAAGTAATTTGATACTTTTATTTACCGTAAAAATCTATAACCAATAACCATACTACATTATAGTACCGCGAATCTTTTCTCTCACCTTGCAGACAATGTAAAAACCATCAATGATATTAATCTTTTGAGTTAACGTAAAATTCAAGTTATAATGATTTGGCCTGCGTGTTATACAAACATAACAAGGGAGATAGATAACAACAATAAAGTAGATAACAACAATCAAGTAGAAAACAACAATAAAGTAGATAACAACAATAAAGTAGATAACAACAATAAAGTAGATTTAACAACAATAAAGTAGATAACAACAATAAAGTAGATAACAACAATAAAGTAGATAACAACAATAAAGTAGATAACAACAATAAAGTGTGTTCTCACATCATCCTGGGCAAGTAGAGACAGGGTACCGGGCCCCTCCCCTGACAGGGTACCGGGCCCCTCTCCTGACTGTGTACCGGGCCCCTCTCCTGACTGTGTACCGGGCCCCTCCCCTGAGGTCCCCACTGTGCTACTTTCTAATGGTTTAGGGGTGCAACTCTCTGAGAGACCGCTCAATGGTTCTGTAGTAGTGATCCTGACAGTAGTAATAGCCCGGACAGTAGTAATAGTCCTCAGACTGCTACATTCCTGGTGGTCTGGTATGGTAAAGGAGTCTGTACAGCTGTTAGCTGAGTCTGTATCCATATCTCTCTCTAGCCTTCATTGCACAGGAACTACTGGGTCTTGCTTTCCTGGATACAGTCGTTTGTAGACAAACAGACATACAAACAAACAAACAGAAAATCAAACAAACAATGATGATAATAAATCGAAGTTAAATAACACCACTATTAGTAGTGTTTAGTCTAAACATCCCAGAAATGTATATTAGGTAAGGACTAGACACGATGCTTGGAAAGGTATCGGTAATACTCGGCATAGTATAGTTTGAAACCGAATTATTAAAGATCTGACACCAATTTTGGCGACAATAGCTTATCGATAAAGTTTCTCAAGTTCGTGAAGGGACAGTTCAAATAGGACCGTTTTTAGAAGACCATACTTCATTATCAGACTGTACTTCTTCTCATTTGATAGTACAATAATTATATTATTAGACAATAATTATATAATTAGATAATAATTATATTATTAGATAATAATTATATTATTAGACAATAATTATATAATTAGATAATAATCATATTATTAGATAATAATTATATTATTAGATAATAATTATATTACTATTACGGGTATCGGCCTTACAAAATGACAGGCCTCACAAAATGACAGCCCACATAGACCATGCTGTAGCTTAGGTTCCCTATACATTGAACCCTATTCCTTTTACTGTATGAAAGAAAAAGCATTAATCAACACTTCCCAAGGAATGATAATGACATAGAATCTATATTTCTTACATAAATATGGACGTTTTTGCTGTTCAGTCATTGCCCCGCCTAACTGTTACCCAGAATGGAGACCAAAGTTTTGAATTTAACCCCAGAAAACCAGGTACTACCATGACTTATGTCAATCAAAGACTACTCTGGTCAAATAAAAAAACTGATTTAGTGACTTTGGTAGAAGAAATGACAAAAAAATGACCTAGCCTCACAAAATGACAGTGTTATGCCTCACAAAATGACAGTTTTATTTTATGATACAAAGATGGCATATTTATATTGGATGCCCCTTGCCTAATTATTGGTATTCTTAAACCCAGTAAGCTCATGATGAGCCTAAATGTGTTTGTTTGATCATCAATTTTGATCAAAATGCCTCACAAAATGACACCGAAAAGCCTTACAAAATGACAATGTTTCATATTGAATTATTTTCATCATCTTAAATGGATCAGAGACAGTCAATACAAGAAGGAGTTAAAAATAATCATAATCTGACAGTTAACAATCAAATAGCATTAAAAAAGTGCAGTTCTGATATCAAAACTTTGATTTCAAACTCTTTGATTTCAAACTCTGATTTCAAAACTCAACGAAATAAAGCTTCTATTTTGTGAAAGCAGAGAGTAATAACAACTCCTAAAACATGTCAAACGTTAACTAAACACTGAAAAGTGATCTATCCAGTCATAGAAAATATCAAATATAACCAAATACTGTGTTCAAGTATGAAAACAAAAAATGATTTTTACGCCTCACAAAATGACATTTTTTAAATTTTTTCAAAGTATAAAAAATGTTCCTTTTTAAATATATTTTGGTAAAAACAGAACTGGTATAATATAAACAACATATATATCTAACAGTAAGACACGTGAAAGAATAATGAAACTTTTTCCCAAATCGGATTTGAAGTGATGCCGTTTTGGGTTGTCATTTTGTAAGGCACTATCTCACGCGAAATTGCCCAACATTTTTTAATCATCCTTTTTCCTGTAACCCTCTAGTTCCATGGCCAATTAATACAGTGAAAAAAATATGAAATTTTTATTTGTGAAATAAAATTAATACAGGTGACCTGTTCCATGCCCGTATTAATTTGCACGCAGTAATTGATACGCGTATTACTATTGGTGGTGTCGGGCAAGATCAGGACTGCGGCCACACGAGTTTTAAAAGGATACACAAACTTAGTGTAACAACCAATGTAGTGTCTGGAAGCAGAATGTTGTCCTACAATTATATTTACCTGAGAAGGTTTCGTACATACGAGGACTGAGATAGATGAGGACTGAGGAGGAGGAGGAAGACTGAGGAGGAGGAGGAGGAGGACTGAGGAGGACTGAGGAGGAGAAGGAGGAGGAGAAGGAGGAGAAAGACTGAGGAGGAGGAGGAGGACTGAGGAGGAGGAGGACTGAGGAGGAGGAGGACTGAGGAGGAGGAGGAGAAGGAGGACTGAGGACTGAGGACTGAGAAGGTATCGTACATATACGGACTGAGGAGGAAGAGAGGAGGAGGACTGAAGAGGAGGAATGAGAAGTAGGAGGACTGAGGACTGAAAAGAGGATACTGAGAAGAGGAGAAGGAGGAGGAGGACTGGGAAAGAAGAGGAGAAGAAGGAGGAGGAGGACTAGGAAGGAAGAGGAGAATGAAGAGGAGGAGGAGGACTGAGGGGGAGGGCTGAGGAGGAGGAGGAGGATGCGGAGGATTGAGGACTGAGGAGGAGGACTGAAGAGGATGAGGACTGAGAAGAGGAGAAGGAGGAGGAGGAGGAGGAGGAGGAGGAGGACTGGGAAGGAGAAGGAGGAGGAGGAGGGCTGAGGAAGAGAAGGAGGAGGAGGGCTGAGGAGGAAGAGGAGGATGAAGAGGAGGATGAGGACTGAGAAGAGGATACTGAGAAGAGGAGAAGGAGGAGGAGGACTGGGTAAGAAGAGGAGAAGGAGGAGGAGGAGGACTGGGAAGGAAGAGGAGAATGAAGAGAAGGAGGAGGAGGACTGAGGAGGACTGAGAAGGAGAAGGAGAAGGAGGGCTGAGGAGGAGGAGGAGAGGATGAGGAGGATTGAGGACTGAGGAGGAGGACTGAGAAGAGGAGAAGGAGGAGAAGGAGGAGGACTGGGAAGGAGAAGGAGGAGGAGGAGAAGGAGGAGGAGGAGCAGGAGGAGGAGGAGAAGGAGGAAGCATCTACATTTTATTTCCATAACATTTTTGTCCGTTTTTGTCCGACCTAGGAGGAGGAGGAACAGGAGGAGGAGAAGGAAGAGGACTGAGGATGAGGAGGATTGAGGACTGAGGATTGGGATGAGGAGGAAGAGGAGCAGGGGGAGCAGGGGGAGGAGGAGGAGGAGGAGGAGGAGGGCTGAGGAGGAGGAGGAGGAGGAGGATTGAGGACTGAGGATTAGGATATAGAGGAAGAGGAGCAGAGGGAGCAGGAGGAGGAGGAGGAAGGCTGAGGAGGAGGATGAGGAGGATGAGGAATGAAGAGGATGAGGACTGAGAAGAGGAGACTGAGAAGAGGAGAAGGAGGGGGAGGAGGAGGAGGACTGGGAAGGATGAGGAGAATGAAGAGGAGGAGGAGGACTGAGGGGGACTGAGAAGGAGAAGGAGGAGGTCCGCCCTCAGTCCTCCTCCTCCTCCTCCTCCTCCTCCTCATCCTCCT